CCCACAACACGGGGTGAGATATATGAATATATCACAGTAAACTAGGGGTCCTTGGAGATCACTCCACCCTAAGGTTCACTTTCGATGTACACATAATCATAATAGCTTAACACATTCTTATCCATACACACCACATGAACTTCCAAGAGAGATCCATGAAGGGTTGTTTCTCTTAGGCTCTTACCCCATGGAGATCCACATAGGGTTGTTTCTAAGGGAAGTCCCTATCCTCAATCTAGGAACCTCCAAGAGAGATCCACATAGGGCTGTTTCTTTTGGGCTCTGACCACATAGAGATCCACATAGGGCTATTTTCAAGGGAAGTTCTACCAATCATCCTCATCATAATACTATCAATCATAACTTCAATCAATATTTACAGTCAAATGTCACCATAACAATTGATAATCAATCAACGATCATTAATAAATCATAACATTTATCAATGCATGAGTCAATGCATGAGCATACATTTACTATTATCAAGGGGATCAACCCCAAGGTCCGAAGGTTTACCTCACACTTGAACTTCCGTTCGACATTTTCCTTTCCTCAAAACCATAAAATCTCCAATCAACACCAAGACAACCTATAGTCCAGGCAAGAGATGTGTTCATCAACTCAATCCACTCATAAATACTAAGTCCAGGACTAGACAAACATCTCAACTATTCTAATTACTCATAATTTTAACATTAACTCAACTTACCCTTGAAACCCAAAACTAGGTTTTTTTCCTCCAATGGTTTTTCCTTTACTCAAGGGTCACCTTGCTCATAACTACACATAAAACAACACCCAACACATCAAAATCCATCCCACCATAGATGAATTTCGTGGTCACTATTCACCCAAAACCTAGATTCATGAAAATTCAAGGAAAAATGTGAAAAGGGTGAAAACTTACCATAGATGACCTTAGAGTGGAAGAGGAAGAAAAAACTAAGCTCCAAAGCACTCAAAACCCCTCAAAACACAAAACTTCCTCAAATTTTTGAAATGGATAGGGGGATATATCTCTCAATACAATGACCCCCAACTAGAACCAAGCTATGGGTTTTGTAGAGGATGAAATTTGACACATTTTAGACTGTGGAACAAATCGATTTGGTGGAGGAATGAAGGAGCTAGGGTTTGAACTCCCTTCAATGGCTTCTCCTTCATTTTTCCCTCCCTTGGCTGTGTTGCACGATGAAGAAGAAAAAAATGGGAGGGTTTCTTGTGTTTTTACACTTACTTAGATTAAGTGGGTTTTAATCAGATAAAAACTTATCTATCTATTCACCTCCATTCACCACCAAACTTATCCAAATGGTCTAGAATATTTTTCTAGTAATATTTTTAACTTTACTTTTATATTCTGGGTACTTTTATCTACCCACATTTTTACCCCATAATTTTCACTAAGTGCACTTTTCACCTCAAAAGTGACCCTAATTCATTTAATTTTAACCTCTTGTTTAATTCTACCCACTTATACATGCTTAATTACTTAATTATAGGTAATTGATTAAATTCTTAAGTTATGGGTATTATAAGACTTTAAACCAGATCTAATACAAAGTGTGGAATGTCTCAACCAACAACTAAAAATTATAATATACGGTAGGAAAAATAATGTTCATATGAAGGGGACATATTGTCACAAGGCAGAATAAAACATAGATATTAATATTAGCATGTGCTTCAATAAGGACCATAGAAGTTCTGCAATAACAACAACAATCGAAGTTCACTACAACTTCACTTAGCTTCAAAATATACTAAGATGAGAATTATGTAGACATTCACTAGTTCCTCAAATAACCATTCATGCAATCACAATTATAAAGTACTAGTATCCTAATTGTACAATCCAAAACTCAGTAATTAATATAGGGTAAACTCAATCCTTATGCATCAATGTTTAATTCCATATTCCTTTTCGGTTTATTTACAAAATATGTAACATTAAATCCAAGTTTAATATAACACAAATTACACAAACAGTGTCAGGTGCTATATGATCACTACACGAGAGAGCCTTTCAACTTAACTATTAGAAAAATGTTCTAATTCAACCAGTGTAATATTCATAGAACTAATAACCCATTTAGTAAATCTCAAGAATGGTTTTCCACACTTCGTACATGGTGGTGAGTTGATCAAGCTCAGCACTAAGTACTCATTTGTGCCTCACCATACTTGAAATTTGAAACATTAATCAAAATAAATGCTTAAAGCAACTCATAACATCACAAACATTGCAATACATTAAGGAGTTTCCCGAGAAAGTACTCTGATACCATAAAATGTAACACCCTATTCTAGAATAGGTTTGTTAACATCAAAATGGTATTAAGCGCAATATGTTTAATTAGTTAAATGCGGAAGCTTGCTTTATAATTCACCATTAGTCTTAACATAAAAACATGAATAAACTTTTTCTTTCTTATCTATTTCAATTAGCTAATTATTTCTTGTTCAATTAAAACTACTCGATACCCTCTTGCATCTCACATCCTTTTAAAATAAATCTTACGGCATTCTGTCCGTAATTCGGACATCTAAGGATAATTTCCATCGTCCCAACATCACCTGATAGACATTATATCTCATTTCTTCTATCTAGCTTCCATCAGTGGATTTTATATCTAAGTCTCCATGTCAATGACTTATTAAACAATCCTTGCCAATTCAAGGCTCAAGTATCTACTCCATACAATTAGCATGTTTCTTAGGCATGTATATACAATTCATATCTTGTACAAATCTACACATGCTTCTCTAAACATAATGTACAAGTTTTATGCAACATAGGCATAGACGCCCTTTATGCTCTCCAAAAGGATAACATGACATATACATCTCAAATGATAATAAAACTCATGAATCAAAGCATGTAAATATCAAAATAAAGTCTACAATCTCATGCCACTTCACTGTCCTGGCCTCCTGTCATGCGATGCCTCAGCACCATAGATTTTTGTACCTAAAATATAAGTCCCCAAACAGGGAGAGATCAACCATCTAAGTAAACTAGGGATCCTTGGAGGGCTCCTCCACCCTTAAGTTCACTTCAGTCATAATCATAGTATAAAATCATGTACATTAGAATATGTATATCAATGCATGTGTGCAATAATGAATCCTACTGGCCAGAGAATATAACAAGTATGCATTACACAAGGAAACATTGTCTTGCAACATACCGTATGAGGAAACACCGTATCATACTATGCATAAGGAAACACTGTCTTATGTCTCACACAAGGAAACACCGTCTTGTGTGGTACACAAACATACAAACATATACATGCAACATATGACAGCTCATATTCACATACCATATGAAAGAACCACCTTCCCTTGGAGTTTGGTAGAACAAGCGGGAGATTAACCCCAAAGACTGAAAGCTTACCTGATAGTAGACTTCCACATATGCTTTTCTTTATCTCAAAGTGAACACAACAAGCTCTCCACACTAAGACAACTTATGGCCAAAGTAGGAAATGTGCTCAACAATTATATCCACACATAAATATTAAGTCCATGGCTAGACAAACATCTCAAATATTCTACATTACTCTTAAAGCTCAACATTAACTCAACTTACCTTTGTTCTCAAAATTCAAGAGACAAGGTTTTTACCCCAATAGCTCCACCAGTTGGTTCTCTTTTATAAAGGTGTCCTCATACTCATCTCTACACCATGAGCAACAAGAAAACAACATCAAAATCTTCCTTTTTCCAAGTCATAAAGACCATGAAACATAATACATTTTCATGGCAATTTATCAAGGTGGTCCAATCTACTATCTCTTTAATTTTTCTTCAACAAGACATCATTCTACACATACTTAACAAGAGAATCAATGTCTAAATCACCTTCTAGCTCATCATACCATCAAATTTTTGGTTTATTATTCATTACAACCCTAACCTTCATGAAAATTCATAAAATCTTGGTTTGAGAGGAGATTTCTTACCGCAATGGCTCAACAATGGAGGGAAAAGCTTGCTTCATGTTTCCAGGACCTAACCCCATCAAATTCCCATTTTTCTCCAGGAACCCGAAATCATATAGGAAGAAGAACTCACTCCATACTCAAACCCACTCCAAATTCGAAATTTCCTCCAAGTTAGGCTTTGGAAGCACTTGATTTGGATGTCTAGAACTCAAGATATGGCTTGGTAAAATTTTCACTCAAAAACTCTCTTCTCCTTCTATAGTCGACGGCTTTGCACGTGGAAGAAAGAAAAATGGGTTGAGTTGGTGTCTCTTTCTTTGTTTCCTTATGTCACTTAAGTGAGGTTGCTTGACCCAATAGGTTACAACTTATCTATCCCGCTCACTAAACTCTCATTCCAACTTTATATATTAGTCCATAATATTTTTGTGGTAACTTCTACCAATTTACTTTTAAATTTCGGGTAACTTTGCCTACCCGTATTTTTACCTCAGTACTGTCATTTTTACTCTTTTTCACCAAATATGACTTTAATTCATTTTAATGAGGCTTCCCATCTAATTACTCTTCAATATTTATCATAAATTCGTTAATCCATAATTAAATCCACAATTTGGGTCATTATAGAAAAAAGGAAAATTATGAAAGGATCCGTCGACGGATTTTCCTCTTACTATAAATTTCATTGTTGTCGGTATTGACATGTAGGATGGGACTCTATATTTATTCTCATTTGATTAATCAAAGTCTTCTCTTCATAATAAATTTTCCTTTTGCTACTTCCTACTTTTCATTTTTCTGAAAAATTGGATAGTAAATAAATAATAAAAACAGAGAATGTGAAATTTGTTTTTCTTTCTTGTTTTGCCTTATTAACAACTACGTTCCATATTTACCGTATATGCAGGCTGAAAACTAACTTTGCGGGGATATTTATTTAAAATATAGAAAACCTATTCATATTTCCCCACAAATAAGTATAATGAATTTTTACTTCCAAGTACAAGTTACAAACTCCACAAAACCGATGTTAGAAATATACTAATTTCACTATCTAGCATTTAGTAATGAGATAGTTACTCCATTGACCGAAGAAGAATGTTCCCCTTCACTTGAGGCCTTTTTAATTAAGAAGCCAGGTTCGTTTGGTTGAGGTAAAGCATTTACACTACTCAACATCACAATCACAGATGTCATGTTTGGCCTATCGTCAGGATGATGTTGCAGACATAAAAGACCAATTTGAATGCAGCGAAAAACTTCAGATAGAATATACGAATCTCTCAAACAATCATCAATCAATTGTTCTGGAATGCCGTCTTTCCATAATCTCCATGCCTACAACATTTCAACACAATTGTTATCTACAACTTTATTATATATATATATATAATATATATATATATATATAGGATTGACACCTCATCTGAGAGCCATTAGATTAAAAAAGGATCACATGCTTACAAATCAGAGTTGTTGATCTTTTTTTATCTAATGGCTCTCAGATGAGGTGTCAAATTTTAAATTTGACAATGTCAAAGGATCATATATATATATATATATATATATATATATATATATATATATTTATATTTGTGTGTGTGATACTCACATGCCCAATAAGGTTATAATCATCGTCATGGTAGGTAAGTGCTCTGTTTTTCTTTCCGCTTACAATTTCTAGCAATAATACGCCAAAGCTGAATACATCGGATTTTATGGAGAATAATCCATCAATGGCATATTCAGGTGCCATATAACCGCTGAAAAGAACCATACAATAATTAATTTTGTGTTCAATTACTAAAAGTAAAACTTAATAACTTTTAAGATACTTACTATGTCCCAACTATTCTTTTTGTATTCCCTTCAATTTGATCCCCTCCAAACATTCTGGCCATGCCAAAATCGGAAATTTTGGCATTCATGTCATGGTCTAATAAAATATTACTTACTTTTAAATCTCTGTGTATGATTCTTAATCTAGAATCTTGATGAAGATAAAGAATCCCCCGAGCAATTGCATTCAAGATGTTAAAGCGCTTGGACCAATTTAGAAGCTTACTTTGAGCTGAATCTGTAAGATGGTCCATTAGGTTGGATTAGTCCTTTCTTTTAAAAATGACATGTGAAACAAATCATAATTTTATAATACTAAATATTAAGCTTTGCAGAAAATACTGACCGAAAAGAAATAAATCGAGGCTTCTGTTGGGCATGTATTCATAAACTAGCATTTTCTCATCTCCTTCAATGCAACAACCAAGAACCTTTACAAGATTTCTATGCTGAAGTTTGGCACACAATATAACTTCATTTTTAAATTCTTCCGATCCTTGTCCAGAACTCCTCGAAAGCCTTTTGACAGCAATTTCTTGTCCGTCTACCAATGTACCCTACATTTTATAATAGGTAAAAAGTATTGTATACATTAATAATATAGTCCAAATAATATGCTGAGATACAAACACAATAGGTGAGAGGATGCTTATTCAAGCAACTATAAAAGCTTCTCTCTGAAACCCATAAACTCCAACAAAAAATTGTAAGATAATGAGATTCGTGAGTTTACTTTAGCCTTTTTAATAGGCATATTGCATATTTACCTTGTATACAGGCCCAAAACCACCTTCCCCGAGCTTGTTGTCAGTTGAGAAGTTATCCGTGGCATTAACTATTGTGGCAAGATCAAATAAAGGAAGCTCCAAATCTTCTTGTCCACGTTCATGTTTCTCTTCTGTCAGCATGGTTTTCTCTGTTTCATCTTTTATTTATTAAATGAGATCGAAGCCAGTTAATAAAGATAAAGTAAAATACAAACAATGATTTTATTGTTATAATCGTAGGATTTTAGTTTGTCAGAAAAACTTTCCTACACACATAATATTTTGTGGAGCCCACATTTTTTAAAGCAAAAAATAAAATAAAAATTATGGCACGTAAAACGAATCTCTATAACATTACACAATCACTTTTCCTACGACATAAGTCTTATAAAACCCTATAATGATATACAGCCCCACTCAAAAAGAGTCAAAAACTAACCCAACGCCCCATCAAATTATGGGAGGCGCAGATTTTTGTGGGTTTGTTGAACAATCAAATCATATACTAAAAACTTACTCTCTATACATTTAGACTTGCACAAAGAAACACATGAAACTTCCTGTTAAAAGAAATGGTTATGGTAAATAATAATATTAAATGCCTAACCCATGAGTATCATGTTAATGCAATAATTAATATTATGTCTTAACACTTATAACAGTGCAGGGGAAGGGTTTTAACAACAGGGGATGAAATATATTCTGATCGATCAAGTTAATTGTACTGAACAAAGAAAGAACACACCCAAAGCCCTTAAAAAAAAGCAAAACAAGTAAAATTGAACTGTTTAAAATTTGTATTCTAATAAAATTGGACAGAATGTTTAATTGTGTAGGTGTTCTGTTTCTGAGATATTGCAGCTGTTCAATATAAATAGAAAAGGCTTTTTGGCTATGAAATTTACCTCTATACTTTGTTTTGGTAATGTATCTGTAGGAGAACCCCAATAGCATAACAAGGACAAATAAAACAGTGAACGTAACCACCAACGCTACTTTTTTCTTATGCCCATTTTTAGCATCTGCATTTACAGATTGTTAGTGAAATGAAACACTTGTGATTCTCAAATAAAAGTAGTGACCCGATAATTAATATAATAGAAAGTTAGAAGAAAGTTAAATCCTTTACCCGTAACTGAAACTGCCATTCGAACATATAGATCTTGCCCACTTTGTGAAACTCTCAAATCAATAAGATCACCAAACCAGATGGAACAACCACTACCCTCTCCACTTGTGTCAGTGTTTGCATAAGCTGTGCAGGAACAGTTTTCCAAGCATTTGGCCTCGCATTCATTAAGTGTCATACTTTCATTAACCCAAGAATATGTAGTATTTGGCACTTTCATTCCAGTAAATCTCTGAAAACCATCTTCATTTTTTACCCCGCAGCTCCACGGCTTGCTGCGCACGCATCCTTGTGTCCAATCAATTGCATTCCATTGTTGGGGTGATTTTGGCTCGAATCCTTCGAAGCATTGGCAAATTGGTGATCCAGAAATTATACAATTTCCATTTGGGCCGCAAGTATTATAAATATCACAACTGTCTTGTGGCAAGGATTGATAAACTCTCCAAGTTCTGGTGTCAGGAATCCATATGAGGCGTTGACGAAGATAAAGTGTTTGGTTCAAAACAATTATAGAAATCACAGAACTATTCTTGAGTGTGAATATGTAATACACTTCATCTTCATTTTTGACAAATTTGTAATCGTAAAGTGGATTAGCTTTCAATCCGAATATTCCACTTGACATAAGACCATTCATTGGACCAGTTCTGTAGTACTCATCCGAACCCTTCCACACTACCATTTCAGTATTGCCACCAAGCACCATACTTGAAGTAAAGTCTCCTGAAGAGGGGTCATCCCAATTTTTCCAAGCAGTAAGACGCCGATTGAGACCAGTTTTCAGGTCCCAACCAATCTTCATTCCTGGTAATATTGTATCACAAGGATGGTCAAAGCTCTGCCACAGAAAACTTGTTTCATTGTTGTTGTCCTTCTCATCTCGAAGTACTAAATTACCAGTGTCTAAGAGTTGCACAATGGGACTCAAAGCCTCTGTTGTTGAGTTTGTTGACCAAAGAAGAGTCTGATTCTGGCTTAGAAGCACAAGGTTTCCTTCTTTGCTTATGATTAACTGGCTAGAGTTGTCTTTGATAGGGTTGTCACGGTTAGCAACCCAAACAACAGTTCTAACTGGGATATTTTTGTACCATATTCCAACATAGCGGTTTGAGGAACTACCAGGATTGAAGAAACCCAACTCAAAGGTTCCATCCTTAGAAACCAAGGTGCTTCCGTTATCAGGAAGTGACTGAAACTGGGTAATGGTATCAACTGCATAGGTCATGTGAAAGAAGAAAAAGAGTAGCATGAATATAACAAGCATAACCGGAAAAATGGCCATTTTGCATTAACTAGCCGCAGAAGTTGAAGATATACTTGGAGATTTGGTAGTAGCGTTGGAATAACGTGAATATGCAAAGGGCACTATTGTTCGACGTCTCTGACTTGGTCTCTCTGACCTTGCATCACTTGACAATAACATCTCATGTATTTCCAAAGTGCATTCGGTTCAACGCACACCACCGCTTATTTATTAGATACGCTACTTGCTATTGCACCAAAGATTCAGTGTATTCCATCAATAAATATATTACATGTCAGCCAAAAAAAAAATTTTCTGTCAAATTTTTTTTATCTCCTCTGATGTGTAATGCTGCTTCCATTAATAAGATACACTGAATCTAAGTACAAAAGGTACCAAAGATTTATTCCCTTACTTTAAAATAAACAAATCCTGCACAGCTGTATGACCTTTTATTGTACTTTGACGCCATATATATTGTTCAAAATTGTTTATATATAAAATTTCAAGAGATGAGAAGTTTTCGTATTCCATGCCGACTCCGTGGGACGTAAATAAATTTGGCGATAATTCAGTATAATGATTATAAATGAATATAATTCATTCTTACTGATTAAAGCTAATCTTCAGTCACATTGAGCCAACTAACTAGTTGAACTTTTAAACAATTTTCTATTATATAGATATTGAGCCATATTGTTGCGGTTTCTTGGTAATTTATTATCAAGTCACCAAATTAGAATGAGACAATTTACTAGCCATTTTGTGGTTTCGCACTTAAGGTTAACCCTGAGACAATTTACTATTTAGGTTCTTCTATTGATAGACATCCTTTATATTTCTTTTCAATTTGTTAATTCGGTTAACAGTATATTAAACAAAATTTGTTTTCATGCACAAGAAAAAAGATTTGTTATTGTTGTAAAATATTTATGTGGATGATTATTTGGTTTCTCATGATTTTTTATGTCCCTTGTAACTACCAAGTGTAATTATTCTCTATTCATGTTTATAGTTGTATATAAGGACATGACTACTATGAAAAAAGTATACGTTGATTTAGAAGTTGATGATATTTTTAAACTTTTCCAATTGTTTTTCCTTTGATCTTCCTATTTTTTTTTGGAAACTCGGTTCCCTCAACTCGGCACGAAAGCGTGTTGCAAATCAATCATTGTAACGCCCCGTCTGTGTAACGTCTGACAACTTACAAAGATCAACGACTGTCGCCACACACTAACACGAGACTTTTCAGCGTGTTTTGTCCTCACTCACACACTTCCCGGGAAGACTTCCTAGGAGGCCACCCATCACAGAATTGTCCCAAGTCAAGCACGCTTAGCTTTGGAGTTCTTTCGTTCCGGGCTACCGAAAAGTAGATGCATCTTGTTAGTATAGGTAATACCAGTTAATTCTTATAAGTTATTCTCAACTGTACCTTTCCATACCAGCACAGTCTCTAGAATCCCTCTCTTTCGGGTATTGATTCGATTCATTCATGTACCCCCGTCACTGAAAGCCTGCTAGGAGCCGCTCCTTGTCCATGCCATTTCCCACTTACGATCACTCCCCGCCCTCATCAGCGCTCGGGATGTTACAGTCTATGTAACACCCCCTTCTAGAACCGGTATGTTAACATTATGTATGCCATTAAGCGCAGTTACAATCACAGCAATTGAATTAAAATACGGATGAACTTTTTTCTTTTTATGATAAACGTTTCTGTTCAAAATCAATTCCGTAATTAAAACAATTCCAAAACTGTAATCGTAACTTAAACTACGAGTGGAACACTTAATATAATTTTATTTAGACCATACGTTGCTACCCCAGTGTGCCAAGTGGTTCCCTTAGACCAACAAGGCTTAAAAACTCATTTTTTAGTGTTATTCATCGCTAAACACCTACACTTTTTATTTACTTAAGGAATTTTATACTAATTCTATGGTTCTCATCTCCCAATATGTTATAGATTTCTTCGTTAGCTACACGTGGGTTCAAACCGCGCTCAAGAATTTGAGTTAGTTGCTCTACTTGCATTAGATGCTTGTGCCTCTGAAGGCTTCTTGGTCTTGGTCACACTATAAACTTCTTCTACTTTCTGGCACTGATTCATGAACTTGCTAAACTCACGGATATCGCAATTAGACATTTTCTCATTTAGACCCCATTGAAACTTGGAGGTCATCTCGGCTGAAGTAGGTAGAGCTCTCCCATAGTTAGCATACTTCAGCAATTCATTGAACTTGGAAAAATATTGGTCAATGGTCATCGTTCCCTGCTTCAAATCATTATACTCATTTTGCTTCCTTTCCCTAGCCTCCCTAGGAAAGTAGTTATCCAAGAACAAAGTCTCAAACAACTGCTAGGTGATTTCTTAGCCTTCTGCCTCCAAAGGTTGCACGGTGTTCGTCCACCAATCCTCGGCTTCACCTTTAAGCATGTACACCGAGTAAACCAACTTCAGTGCATCAGGGCATCTCATCACCCTAAAAATCTTCTCCATATCTTGGAGCCATTTTGCCGCAACCAACGGATCATAGCCTCCAGTGAAGGGTGGAGGTTTGTGTTTTCAAAAAGCAGTCAATCGCGTTTCATCCGCGTCTGGCCCACCAACATGTTCTACATATGGTTGATGAACCACAATATTACGACTAAAGCCATCATCATGGTGACTAGCCCTTTCTTCATTGTGACCCAGTCCACCCTCTACATGGAGAGTATGTGGAGTAGGTGTGGCAGTGTGAGGAGGAAGAGTGGGTGGTCGGTTCTCAACTCTTGCACCCCTCAGTGTCCTCAACTCATTCATCATCGCGGTCATAGCATTTCACGCATCTTCATTCGTCTTCATCAAGTTCTCATTATCTTGACGACTAGAAGTCAACTCCCTTTGCACGGCTGCCAGAGTGTCAGCCACGGGATCAGACTGTCCACCTGTTTCCCCATGACCACTTCAGGGTCTAACTAGAGCAGCCAAAACAAGATCTGGCTAAGCATTGGCATTCGATGCCTCAGCGTTATTCTGGTTCCTCATCATGACACTACACATGTTACACAAGGGAATGAGTTGATCAGGCTCACACTTAGTGATTACAGATGCAATAATCATAAAGAGTACCAAAACAACTATAAAGCATTAAACATCAAGCAAACATAATAATAATCCATGACTTTCCCTAAGAAACTGCTCTGACACCATAAAATGTAACACCTCGTTCTAGAATTGGTTTGTTAACATTACGTATGACATTAAGCGCAGTTACAATCACAGCAATTGAATTAAAATACGGATAAACTTTTTCCTTTTTATTATAAACATTTCTGTTTAAAATCAATTCCGTAATTAAAACAAGAGTAAACACCCTTTTTGGTCCCTGGCAATATCTACGAAATCCTTTTTAGTCCCTGGCAATAAAAAAGGACCAAATTGGTCCCTAAAATTATGAAAAAAGGGCCACATTAGTCCTTATGTCAACTCCTCCGTCACTAACGTGACCCTTTTTGCATACTGTTAGGGACCAATTTGGTCCTTTTTTATTGTCAGGGACTAAAAAGAATTTCGTAGATATTGTCAGGGACCTAAAAGGGTGTTTACTCTTAAAACAATTGCAAAACTGTAATCATAACATAAACTACGAGTGGAACACTTAATATAGTGTGCCAAGTAGTCCCCTTAGACCAACAAGGCTTAAAAACTCATTTTTTTATTGTTATTCATCACTAAACACCTACACTTTTTATTTACTTAATAAATTTTATACTAATTCTATGGTTCTCATCTCCCAATATGTTATATATTTCTTTGTTAGCTACGCGTGGATTCAAACCTCACTTAAATCGGAGCACCGTAGCTCAAGTTATGAATTTTTGAAGAATGAATTTCGCAGGGTCCCGCGCTGACAGCGCCAAACCCGCGTTGATAGCACCAGCACACTAACTTTTTCACGTCTTACGGCGCCGTCAGCACCAACTTGGCGCTGACTTTGCCAACCCACTATTTGGTGGCATCAATAGCGCCATTTTGGTGCCAAAAACGCCACGGTTCTGGAGATTTCACTATCCTTCGGTACTTTACCCATAACTTGAGTTATACTTATCCGTTTGACACAATCTTGGTCTCGTTAGAAAGCTAAGAAAAAGATCTATAACTTTCATTAGAACACAAGGGTCTAAACCTATTATATAGGATATGAAAAATGGACAACAAGACATGACATCTTTATTTTTATATTGACTCTCAAGCTAAAGGTCTTCTTTCACCTAATTGGCATTGTATAACTATAACAAGACATCATTCTTACAATTTTAAGACACGCCTTTATTAAAATAAGCATCCATGTCTTTCCATCATATATACAATAAGTACAACATTACAATATCCAAATGTCTTTAATACTTAACCATGGGACTTAGCTACAAAACTCTATGATCAAACACTTGGCTCTCATCAACAACAAGAGACACCAAAGGAGGTGAGCATAGGCTAAGTCCACCAATTAAAGCATGATGTACATATATCAAATGGTTTTCAAATATAAATCATGTAAATAGGAACTACTAAATGACATGCATAACCAAAATAATGCAATATCTTCATGCATCAATCTAATCCAAGTATGGCCACTTGCCACTAGAGGCTCCTGCAGCATCTGTACCTGAAAGGGGGTCCCCACAACACGGGATGAAATATATGAATACATATCAGTAAACCAGGGGTCCTTGGAGCATTTCTCCACCCCATAGATCACTCACAGTATAATAGCAATAACCATAAATAATGCAGTAAATACATATCTATGCAGTGTGTCAAACATCTCTAGGAGACATCCCTCGAGCTCTCATGTTGTCCTAAGGATACTCTGATGCAAAATAGTCCTACTGATCAGAGAATCTACCAAGTATGATTTACGCATCGTCTTGCAACATACAAACATAGGGAAACACCATCCTATGCCACACCCAAAGCATACACATACATATAACAAAACATTAAACTACTTTATTGCATTTACATACACTAT